GTCCCTGAAAGTTATCTCAAAACTGTTTCCCATGAAAAAAATGTATATGACAATTGTTTTTGCACAGAAAAAAAATCGTGTTAGAACTTTTGACTATGGAGGTGTTCAGGTGGCTGTCGCGGGAGTGCTGCAGGTGGGTAAGCAGTGTGGACTCCTGTACCTAACTTGGGGAGAAAATCTTGCCTTCTCTTTCTAGCACTTGCTTATGACTAGGCAAAAGGAAGCAGGGCTTAATGTCGAGACTTTTCAGTGTATTCCTATATGTTCTCTCATTCTGAGGATTCCTGCTTTGTTCCTGTTGCTGTAGTTCTCCCTTTTCCTCACAAAAAAGCCAAGCTTGTTTGTCTGCTCTGTGGCTGAAATGTGAGCTCTGCCCTAAAGCTCCTCTGTGAATACCCTTCCTTATAATGTTTTGAGTGCAGTAGTTCAAAGCCTGATGTCAGACTATCAACCTCGCCACGCACAATGGTGGTGTGACCTATGGCTAACCTCGCGCTGGCTATTAGTGTATTAAGTGAGTGTGTTTCTATTTTTGTTAGTTGGAGACACTGTCTTTCACTATCTTTACAAGCTGGTGTCCTCAGTTAATTTATAGATGCAAACCAAGTTTTCCGTGGTGAAATAGTCTAAAAGGCTCACCAGTACCACTTCATCATGAGTGACTTGTATTGCGAATGATATAACCAGTTATCAGGTGGTGAATCTCATTTTAACTTGCTATTTTCTAAGGTTTTCCATGCATTTTTACATTGTGTTTTTCTTTGCCATTACTTAAGTTTTGATGCTCTATTTTGTACTACAGAGCTATACTCTACATATCCTCACCTTCTCAGGAGATAAAATAATTCTGTTGCTTTTAATTAAATACTAACACTTCTGCCAATTCTTCATGATTTAATACATCTAATACCATTAACATGTGATTAACCTAGGTCAACATATCCTTGAAGAGAAAATCTGAGTCTTAAATGCAAGAATTTTTGCTTTCAAATCATACCTCATTAACAGACTAACGAGCACAAAAATGTGCATACAAATAATAATTGAATACCTTACCCTTCCTATCTCACAATATTTCCAAAACATTTAAAAGAGGCATATATATCTATTAACTTTTCTGCTCTAGATCCCACAGGATTAATGGTAAAGAATATGAATCATGAAATGATGTGGCTGTCAGAATGAGGTTCATAGTTTGGGTTTAAGATTGAGCACTGCAAAAGTTCAAGCCCACTGAGAGCAAAATTATACTGTAAAAGACAATCACCTCATGAAATTTTGCGAGATGTCTTGCAGTGAATTCTTACATGTGCAGCTCGTGATGTTATTTGTAGAGTAACTCCCCTCTTTGGATTTTACCATTCTAAAATGAAATCAGGGCATTTGAATCTGAACAATCCTTCTACTCAGAAAATATGAAAAGAATAAGATTCAGATTATTTTTGAGTCCAGGATGAGTTAAGAGGAAGACCAATAAAAATTGCTTATTAAAAATTAGGTTTTTAAAATATTACAAATGACTTCGCTATGTCTTGCAACTAAATTTCTCTAACAAAGGGAATTGTCCAATAGCTACACAGCTATCCTCCAGGATAAAGGGTGGTGAGGTCTGGGTGGCATGGTCATGGCTACCCTTTGTGGGAAATGTTAAAAGGTATTCCAACAACATGAGATTCAGAGAGCACCCACTGGCTTGCACCATTAAAGGTAGGATGGTAGAGTTAACCAGACTGCCTAAAGAAAGGGAGCCCCTGGATGCTCCCAGGTATTGCTCGTTGAGCAGTGCCTTCTTCCTGACCTTGCCCCTTGCTGGAGACCATGTCCGTGCCTTGTGGTGTCTGGCACGGCAGCAGCTATCACTGGGCAAGGACAACTCACCATGACGCAGATACCTCTTCTGGAGCAATGGTATAGGTACCCATCCTGCCCTCCCCATATTTGCTCATGCACTCCAGTGATTAACTCCAGTAGCTCAACTTCATGTCGGTCCTGCCTTCCAGCCTTGCAGTCATCATGCTTGGTCTCCAGCTGCAGGAGCTAGCCAGCACTTCATTTGTGCTTCACCCCTTGCATGGTCAACCACCATTGCTTCCTAACTCCTCCTATTCTTCTGCAAAGGACACGTGTTGTAGAAAAGGTCCGAAGAGCTGCCTCGTGCTTTTATAAGATGCAAACAAAGAGCACGATGGGGTCCTTTGCACTCGTAGCTGTCCTGTGAGAACAACGGGAAGTTGGGTAAAGGGGAAAACGAGCAGGGCCAAAGAAATTGGCTACTTGGAGTGTTAAGGGAAAGCCTTACAGAAATAAGGGACAGCTGAAATAAACTGTTGAAGGGATCACATTTTACCTACGCACTTAGAAAGGATCTTTTAACAGAAAGATCATATTGAATAATTCTTACGTATTTGATGAAAAAACCCCATCAGCAGTTACCTAAAGCAGGTATGCATAGTTACCTTTTTTAACATGTTTGTCTTGGATGTCAGATAGACTATTGCCTGCAGCAGGCTACCCTTCCTCCCCCCGCCAAGCTCCCCTTTGCCTTCAGAAGTGAGGGCTGCGGATGGTGGGATCCCCACGAGAAGACTGGCCAGAGGGAGGAGGAGTGAAGAGCTCATGCTTTCTCCCACGTTACCTGTCATTGCTGCTTCAGTGCTTAGATTGCCTTCACAGAGCTAAACAAAATGCATCAGAAAGCCAGGGCTGTGCAGAAATACGGGGGCTGAATTATTCTGTCCATCCGTCGGTGTGAATGCCGCAAGGGACCGCGAGCCGGAGCAGGTGGCCCAGCAGTCCATGCCGCGGCCAGAGTGGCTGCAGGGCCCCGCTGCCCGTGCCTGTCTCTCCACCCCCGGCGGGGAGCTGCAGCTTTTGTCTCCTCTTGAGCATGGGAACTGTAAAGAGGTCAGCCTTTGCAAGACACCGAGGTTTCAGGATACATTTTGTACCGTGTTTCTGTGTTACCTTTCCCTGATCCACCAACATCCCCATCTGCTGCAGGAATGGTTCTTGACTTCCAACGCAGCAAGGTACTGCTCTGGGACTAGGTTTGACCACAGATATCTCAGGTAGCCTGTCATCCCTTTTCAGGGCAATATAGTTTTTCAAACTGTAACTTAACAAAATAAAAAAGGAAGAAAAATCTGGTAGGAACAAAATGTCTTTATTCTATGTAAAGAAATTGTAATTTTTTGAAGTAAAACTGAACTCTGCATGATTCTTTCCATATCACATTTATATTGCTAAGGCCTGTACAAGTATGTAGCTAGTGTAGCTTCTCTATACCACCATGGAGCAACATTTGTTTCGACTGGCACTGCATTAATGTCTTGTCTAGAAAGAATGATTTTCCATACTAAAGCACTTAAATATAGTCAGCCGTTGCCTTTTCTTCTGAAATGCATTCAATTAAGTATAGACCTTATATAGGATTCAAAATCTGATATGCCAGGTCTTAGCAACATTTCATACGATGATCACCAAATGCTGTTTGAAACAAAAGTCTGTCTTCATTTCACTCATGGCCTAGGTTGGTTTTGCATGTGCCTAAGTGACATTCCGCGAACGCTAAGTATATTGCTGCATGTCATTGTGTGAGTTAAATGTATGAGATGGAATACAGCCGTGGAAAGCTGACAATTTCTGTTCTTTTTCACTGTTTACAGAAAGTGTATTTATGTTGCACTCCTTGCTTCTGATATCAAAGGTGTAATAACAAGTTAATGATTTATGCCAGGATCAGTAGCTCAATTAAAAGCAGTGAGGATGTGACTTAGGCAGAAACAGGAATTTAAGGACTGAAGGGACAGAGACACAACTGCTCCTCAGAGTAAAACAGCGGTGTGGTGCCGTTGGCTACTGCAAGTCGCCTACTGGGCTAGGATGTTGCTTACGATTTCTGGAGAGGCATGCCCCAGCTCAGAAGTGAGAAACGTAAAAATGTGCAAATGGAAATACAGACGTCCAACATGCTCCTGTTGGAGCATGACACACCTAATGTGTCCCAGCACATACATAATATTTGTATTCTCTAACCACTGATTTCTGAAAATTGTAATTGTTAAGAAACAGAAATACATGGTCTCAAGAACATGCCAGATCTTAGCTCTGCACAGTGCAGGCATATACGGGGAAAAACTTCTGTCCCACAAAGCTCAGCTTCACAACTCTAAGCTGTGCTACTGGCCCCTTCTCCAGCAGTCCTGCACAGCTGTACTCTCCTATACCCTACTAACTCCTCTTCTAAAGTTGAGTTAATAGAATAATTCAATTGGAGGGGACCTACAACAATTATCTAGTCCAAATTAATTTACTTCAGAAGTTGCTACGAGCACAGAAGATTTTCTTGACAAAAAGGGAATGCAGAGAGAGGATATGAACAGCTCTTGATAGGGCTTCTTTTAATAAAACAGTGCTTGGGAGTCTCGATGGCTTGTCCAAGCTACTGGAGATTTTAGTGGCCCAGATGAGGTTCTCATCAAGGACAGACATAAGTGCAGAAGCCTCTGGCTTTCTCTGCTTTTTTAGTAAAAATACCCAAACGAACCAAAAAAGCACTCAGACCTGTTCTTCCCTGAACCTCCATTGGCTGAAATTGAGTCAGCTGTGTGCTATATATTATTTATGTGCCCATTAGCATATTGAAGCCATGTGCCACTTCATGATTTTGTCCAGCTGACCAAGGAGCCATCATCAGCGTAAAACTCTCCTGTCCTTACTGTGTTACATGCCAGCATAGCAACACTGGGCTCCCCTGGCGTTATTTTCAGGAGCAAGCAGGCTGTGGATTGGGAGGAGGAATGCAGTGGAGGAAGGGACTCACCTTATGGCTGGGTGTTTGACTGCAACTGCAGAGCCGAGAAACTCTTACATGCACTCAGGAGCCCGGCATCTCAAAAGCCAGTGTTCACATAATGTCCCCACTGACAACATTTTTTGTATTAAGTGATGGTGACAAGGAAATACGCTGTAGCACTGCATTAGTGATCATATCTCCCACCTTACATGGGACAGATTTTGTTTTCTGAAGTTGCCAACTGAGCAAAAGATCGGCAATTTCTGTGTTCATCTCTGGTTTTCCTCTTAGAAATGGCACTGCGTACTGCCACGGCGGACATCTCACTGCCTCTTTTGTCCTGGGTTAGCATTGCTCTCTCTGAAGTCGGGTTCATGTTGGACTCTGCAGTTTCTATGACACTGCAGCTGAACATCTCAATCAGACACTTCCTGAACTAGAAAGTTGAAAAAAGATCAATCAAAACACATAAGGAATTTAAAAATACCTCTATAAAGCAGTCTGTGTCTTAGCTAAAACTCCTGGAAGTTTTCTCATGGGTCGGTTGGGAATATAAAGAAATAGCCCCATAAAATATATTTACCTGTGCCGCCATGAACAACTCTAAAACTGAGAAATAATGACATTCTAAAAAGACCCAGACTACTGGAAAATCTTACTCTAAAAAATATTTTTCCTCTTCTGCTTGTTACTAACATCTAATGGACAGAATTGGTCATTTCTCCAGGCTCATGAGTTGCTTTCATATGCTAATACCCAGCTATTCAAAGACGGTTTGTTTCCGTGTTGTTCACATCCATGAGCACGGTAAGACCAGCGTACATCTGCCACGCGTTGGGAGATCAGGGTACTGTCCACGGGATGTGAGACAAGCAATAGCTCTCTCGGCAGGACTGAATAGATAAATGTATTCATCACTTCTTATTCAACAGTCACTTTACTGTTTTTCTTCTTTTCACTTATATGCTTATGCTCTGCTTGATGCAACCACTCTTAGTAGTTACATTCATTGCATAGATCTATCCAAGTTTATTATCATGCCTGTACCACAGTGAACACATATCACTCTGGTTCATTCCCTTGTCAATTCTTCTCTGCGTCCAACCCTCTGCCCCCACTGCAGAGAAGAAAGCTCCCCGTCCCATAGGCACACGCAATGCTTCTACCCTCCCTGTACAACCACAAATGCAGCATTTCCCCTGACACAAATTCAAGCTATTGAAGAATTCTACCCCACCTCAAAATCAGCTCACTGGTGTTGCATTCCTAAAGAATTACAAAAATGTACTGGGACAGTCTTGAAAATAGAATTTTCATACAGAAAACTAGCTGATGTTCACTAAGGGCTGATTCTCCTTTATAATATCTAAACCTAATAATTATTAAGGTTCATATTTTAATAATGCACAGAGGCTTACACTATCTTCCAGTAGGTAGATATACAGTGATTTTTTTTTAGTTCTAAATGCTGGATATTGCAATGCTAGTTAACTAACATGTAGGTAGGTAGAAATAATTCATTATAAAGCAAGACAAAATGACAAAATAACAAAATATGAGTGTTAAAGACACTTTGAGAGCATACAGTACCTGTTTGTTCATAAAGACATAAATAATTGGATTATAAACAGTAGCTGTTTTGGAAAAGAAAGATGGAATTGCTGCCAGACGAGGATCCAGCTCAATGGAGGGGTATGCAGTGACTAGCATAGAAAAGGCGGCGTACGGCATCCAGCAGATTAGAAAGGCAACGATCATAACAACAACCATTCTAGTCACTTGTCTTTCAGGTTTCCTGGTAGATCCCAGCCTGCCTTGTGTATCTGACACCTTTAAAGAAAAGATAAAAGATTCCAGAAGACAAACAACAAGGCCTCCAACCAGTGAATTTAGTGAGCGGGCTAATAATCTGCCATGCTAGAAGGAAAGACTCTTCTTGAGTATGACAGCACATAAGGATGCTGTTACTGGAGCACAGGGTGTCAAGGTTACTGCTGAGGAACATTAATTACTGTATACTGTCATTACCAAATTTTCCTTTGCTTAAGCATCCTTATATTTTTATTGTCAAAGTGAGAGCAAAAAGCAATTACTAGGGCAATCTCTGTGTAGAAATCTAGTTGCAGTCAGGCACAACTGCAGCCTGTAGAGACACTCCCGAGCTAGCTTCAGCCAAGTCAGGAGGAGTAAAGCCATGGCACAGGTTTGCTGTCCAGCCTCACAAAAGTTAATCTAGCTCAGGTAACTTCATGGGTGCTGCAGCAGCCCACCCCGAGGCAGTGCAGAAATACCTGTAAATTCCATTTGTGAGAAAAGTAATCCTAATGATTTTAGTCAAATCAGAGGCAAGATTTGGCCTCTATTTAGAATGCCAGATAACACAATGACCCTGACAGAATGAGCGACCGGCAGTACCTGATAACAATAAGTTACCTCTAAAAATACAAAACAGAAATTAGCGCTGTATTTTTGGGTGATACAACTTGCCATATATCACTAACTTGAATGGAGCTACCTTGGCTTACAGCAGCTCTGGATCTGCACAAATCCTAATAAAGCTAGACTTCTTGGCTTGCAGGAAAGCTGACTAGAGAACATTTTGTCTATATTAGTAGGAGCAGTGTCCCTCTCTTCCCCTTTTCTGGTCTTCTTGTGAAATGCATTTGCTGCTGTCCTGACAAACCAGTTCGTGTACAGCAAAATATAATTGTGAAAAGCACAATTCCATAATAAGGCAAATATGAGAAGCAAATACACCTTTGAACCAGCCTTATAGCCAACCAACTTTAATCTTACCTACAAAGCCATATTCTGCACCAGTTGGCCCAAGCACAGCATTGTCCTTATGAGATCTTTTTACAAGTCTCAGCAGCTTCAGATTTCCTCCAAGTTCTCGTTCAGGCCACTGCCAGGGGCTGGCTTTAAGTAAACGCTCTTGCCTTGGACCACAGATTTTCTCTGCCAGAAATTTGGAAAGACAGGCTCATGGCTGCTGCAGTCGGCATCAGCAGAGGGGAAACAACCCCGGCGAGGTGGTGCAGGAAAAGAGGGTGAGCTGTCCTGTCCCCCCACCAGCACCTGAGCCCCAACCTGCGCCCAAGGCTTCACACCAAGCTGGTCTCCCCAGCCCTCTCTGCTGCCTCTTCTTGGTGTACCTGAGCCCGGGCCAGCCTCTAGCCACCACGTCCACAGGGTGTAACAATTCAGCTTTGGCTAACCTTTTGAGAAGTTTTCAGCCAACTCCCAATCTACCCCTGCCATCATGGCTACCCACAGTAATTGCAACGGTTTAACTCAAGGCACGATTGTGACTTAATTACTGAAAAAGAAAGCCATCTTGGTGAGTCGTAAGCAGGTAGTGAGCCTGAATTCAAGCACTTTCTTTTTCATGTAGCCTTTGCAGACAACTAGGTGTCCAATATGGGTGCTAAAGACAGCACTCCGCTATGGCTGTGCAGCCTCCTTGCCACGGGTGAAGTTTAGACCAGACTAAGCAGCAGTGACCAGGAGAGTCTGTACAGCTCTGTGGTGCTTTATGGCCTTCACCAGAAGAGTGTCTATGATCTAATGACACCAGAATTAAAGTAGGATTGTTGCTCCCCCTCTTCCCTTCATTCATCATGCAAGCAGCTTAGATAGAGATGTTGATACAGAGATTATGTGATGTCAAACAATGTCTTTCTGGGAAACATCCTTGTTTTGTTTCTGATGACTTAGTGAAACAAGGCACTGTTAGGTAATGTTAGCTTACATGGAAAGTAACTAATGATAACTCTGTATGGCTCTACAAAACCTGATGCCAGGTCTTGCAATAATACATGCTAATAAAGTAAGAATTTTTGGTGTAATATGGCCTTTCAGCTTTCCACAGTAACGTTAGAACTGAATGGAGACATTTTCCCTAATAGCCCTTGCACCGCACTCAGATAATTTACCATATTTAGTACTTACAGAGATATAGAAGCACCTCCTGGGGAGGGGGGGTCTCCTTACCTCTGTAGAAGGTTGTAATTCATGTCATTTTTTAACAAACAATAAATAAAACAACAACAATAATAATGAATGGTCATAATACCTACAAGTTCTTAGGCATCAATGAAGGCTGTGTTAGGTGCTGAACAAAGCTAAGATATTCCCTGCCAATACATGACATTTCTGTAGCATTTTTTCATATACACTGTACCAACATAGAGAGCAGCCCAGCCTCCCTTTCAGCAGAAGAGCAGTCACTTTGGGGAGGGAACACAGTCTCCTGGATTGTGCTTTCGACTGTTTCGTCTTTGTCTCATACCAGCCTGGCCTTTTTCTCAGATGTGGCTTTTCATGGATGGCAGTGGATTCCTTTCTCTCTAAACCCGAGAACACAAAACTGATAAGGAACCATGTACTGGTGCTTTATCTTACAAACCAAGGAATACTGCCATAATAATTTATGCAAACTGTTAATTAGATCTTTTCCTAAAGACTCATTTCTTTCATTAGTTTTGCAGTTGTAGTGAAAGCTACTATTGGCATTGTAAATCTAGGGTCACAGGGACTGCGGGATTAGCAGACTTTACGAAGACAAAACAATGCCACTCAGGACAGAGTCCGCACAATGGCAACCATGGGACATGGCGGTCAAAATCCGGGAAGAGGGGGTTGGTTGGGAACATCAAGACCCCAGTTCTGGTGCCTGGGTCTCTCTCTGTTCACTGTAGCCAGATTTTTAAAAATTAGCTTAGTTGTGAGATATAGCCTTATGGCAATACATTATAAATTTACAGAATATATCACAGCCAGTTAGCTTTTCTACACCAGACGGTTTTAGGCTGTTAAAAGTAATAGAGGCCAACTCAGACAGTTAAATCTCTCTGTAAAAGCCAACAAAAGCAAAAGGCGAGGACTGGCACAAGCCAGACAGCCTCGGCTAAACCATTTGTGATGAAGCGCCTTGAGGCCACCCCAGCGTTTCCTGGCTGTGCCGTCTGCCAGGTCACCGAGCTGCAAGGGAGTGTGAAACACACAGCTGACTGAGAAGTGGGATTTTTTTTTTTAACGTTACTGCTATTCTTTCTGGTTAACGGAGAGAGGATTGAGAAAGACAGCCTAGCAAGATCACACCACAGTGGCTCCAGGCCAACACTGGGACCCACTGCATGGCACAGATCAGTCTTTCAGAAGACATCCTGACCTGACCCAAATGGCAAGATGGACCATTCACTGGCTTCTGCTATGACTGACGGTGACATTTTCCTTTGCTGCCTCCCTTGTTCCTCTTCTCACCTGCTTTGTTTTTAACTTGCAGCCTCTTAAGTGGCTGCAAGGGAAGGAACTGGCGCTTTTTGTGCACCTCCTGAAGCATCTGAGTAGCACGTTAGCCACTGCTCTGGCAGACCCATCACAGTGCTGGATGCTTGGCAAGTGGTCTCGTTGCCTTCACATCCCCTCTGTTGGGTCAACAGCCCTCCCTTTCATGCCGGGCCACCAGGCCACCCATGGGCTCTCCCTCCGAGGAGGAGAGGAGGTGGCCCTTTCCTACCCCTGCAGGCCAGGGCCCGTGCCGTGCCGGCCAGTCCGCGGGGAGGGACACCTGCCACCCGCTGCGCGTGCCCCCGGCAGGGGT